CAGTGTTATTATAACCCTTCTCATTTTAAAATATAAAAATTATTATTTAAAATTTTAAATTTATAATAGATAATTTAAATTGTATCATAATATTAATTTTAAATAGAAATAAGTAGATTGTTAATTATAAAAGTAAGTATATATAAATAAAGATTAATTAAATATAATATAATTATTATTATTGGTAATATAATTATTAAATATATTATTATATTTTTATAACGGTTCGGATACACCGAAATGAGAGGGATCCAAAGATAGTATAAGTATGAGATTGTATATTTGAGGATGACTTAAATGAATTAATTTGGACTACTTATACTGACAATATGCATATGTCTTTCTGTAGCTTATCTCATAAGAACTCCACAGTTAAGCGTGCTTGACTTGGAGTAATATAGGGATGGGTGACCTTCTGGGAAGTTTCCCAAAAATTGTGTAATTAAGGACAAAACATGCTAAAAAGTGAAGTATTGTGAAATAGAATCCTTGAGAGGCCAAATATGAGTATTTCGTAGCGACCGAATTTGCAACGTCTATAAAATTTAATAAAATAAAAAATAAATCTTTAGCGACCAATTTATTCGGTCACTAATTTGGACCCCATACACATCAACGACCAAAATCATTGCAACGATTTTGCGACCGAAATTTTCGGTCTCTAAACCAAAATTTTCGGTCTCTAAATAGCGACCGAAAATTTTTTGGTCGCTATATAGCTTTGCGACTAGGGTTTTGCGACTACTTAAATTCGGTCGCTAAGGCAAATAACGACCGATTTTAGCAATTTAGCGGCCGATTTTGGTGGTCGCTAAATCCAATTTTTTTTTTTTTGTAGTAATCCATCAAATGTTGACTAGGATCATAAGTTCCATCAAACGAATCAATTTGAGGCACCCGTTGGTCTCGTGGAATGGGTACTACCTCGATTCTTCTAGAAAGGCCTAAAGTTCTTCCACACCTCAATTGTCAAATCTCCCTTCTTTGGCTTGAGGTTGGCTTGTATCGTTTCCTACATCTCATTCGCCCTTTGCTAGATTTCTTCATTCTCCATGTTGATAACTTTCTCTCTTTCCTTAGCTTGGGCATTCTCTTCTCTTAAACCATTGATCAAGGCCATTGTAGACACCCAATTTCGTCCGGGAGCATACAAACAAGGAAAGAAACCTCTGTTATGGAGGGAAGGAGCTCCCGAAGCATGCAAACAACAAGACAGGACTTAAGAAGGCCCGAAAACCCAAATAAGTTGATTTTAGAAGACTGGAACGGGCTGTTCCAAAATTGGAACGAGCCGTTCCAAGTTTCTAAAAGGGCCAACAACCCTAAATTGGAATGGGTCGTTCCAAGATTGGAACGGGCCGTTCCAAGATCGGAACAGGTCGTTCCAAGCTTATAAAAAGTGGGTTAAAACCATTACTGGAACGGGCCATTCCCAAACTGGAACGGGCCGTTCCAAGTTAAGAAAAAGGCCTAAAAACCTTTCTTTGGAACGACCGTTCCAGTCTACCAAAGAATGCGTTAATTTTATCCCTGGAACGGGCCGTTCCAATTTCAAAACAGGTCGTTCCAGTTACAAAATTAACACAGAACGGCCAATGCCAAACAAGAAAAGATAAAACCAAGGAAGGAAAACGCATTCAATGCATCAAACAACAATTGTGCCTTTTTATAGTGAAAAATTTGCCGAGACAAAAATATTGAAAGGTTCAATTTAGAGTAATTGTAATTTTTGAAAAGTTAAAATTTTGTAATGATTTTAAAATTAATCATGATAAAGCTAAAAAGTAAAAAAAAATTAATCAAAGGTACTGATTTAACGTGCAAGCCATTTTAAAACTCAAGTCTCTTGACGATTTCAAAGTCACCGTTGGGAGTCTACGTTTTGTGCGTTTTTGTTTGTTTTTACAAATATAATGAAATGCTTGTTAAACTTATTGTACAAGGTGACTCAAAATGAAACTAATCAATGCGGAAAGTTTGTGGAAAAAATGAAGATCACGGTGGACTGGAATGGAATGATGATTTTGATGTTTTCATAGACAAAAGGTCCACACTCCATAATGCACCCAACTTTGGAAAATTTATCATATGAGTTTAGATAGAGTGTAGAAAATTAACGAGAGGGGACAAAGTTTTTAGAACGGATATAATATGATTGAAGGTGCTGCCAAGTTGCAACCATGTGTGGCTGTGTCAATGCGTCAGAAACACTGGCTTCATTCTCCTCTGTCAAAACGCGTTGGCTCACAGATATTTTGCGTTTTTCAGAACTTTGAGTCCTAAAATTCAGGATTTAATAAACTACTCCAAAAGCACTTATAGGAAAAAAAATAGTTCTTTATAAATTAACATTAATTTAAAAAGTTAAATTATAAATAAGTATATATGCGTTTTTATTTAAGATCATTTGATTTTACTTATGAACTAGTCTAATAACTTTTACTCTACAAGTAAATTTATAATCTATAATTTTATATATTTTAGTCAATATTATTCTATAATTTTTAATATATTTATCTATCATTTTTAATTTACAAAACATATGCCATAAAAATTTATAAATATTTAAAAAAGATAATATGTTTTATTCTTCATATTTTGTCTAAATATTGTATATGCATATGTCCTTACAGGAAATAAAAGCCTTCAGTTACCGATAATGAAGTGAAAGTACAATAAAAAGTAAACTCTTTATGCTTTTCCAATTTATATTTTTAGTTGCGTAATTCAATTAAAAAATATATACTTATCATTTTATATAAATAAGATAATTATATATAATTTATTTTATATATTTTATAATTATATTATGAAGAATAATATTTGTCGGTTATAATATATATAAAAAAATTCTACATAAACAATTTTTTGTACTTTTTCAGGACATGTCACAAATCAAAATTAAATACTTCTCTTGCGGGATAAAAAAAACCTATCGGCATCATAAAAAATATAAAATGAAGGGAGTAAATAATAATCCAAGTATATAAATTAACATTCTCAATTTAACATTTTTAAAAAAATAAAAACCTTACATTTATAACGATAAATATTGTATATAGTATATATTATCCTAACTTTTACCACTAGATCGAGTACAATGATTCTACGCAGATTTGCATAACAATAATATGCATGAACTTGTCAATTAACTTTAATTTCACTCAGAAGCAAGCTTACCACAAAGTTTTAATTTTAACAATTTTTCCTTCTTTTTTTTGTTTAGTGACTAGAATTAAGTCATCCAACTCTGAAGAAAGTAAATAATAAATTCTGTTATCATTTAATTTCAGTATATAAAATTCACCTCATATCCTATAATCCACGTACCACCAAAAAAAAAACATAGTAAACTCATTTACAATGATAAGTGCGTTAAAATTAATTAAGCACTAACATTAGGCGTAGTAGATTGACTATGCCATGTATCAGTCACGGCTTTAGGTGAAGGATGTGCCATGATCTTCTTGAACAATGGATTCTCGTCCCAATCTGGGGAAGGTAGAGAGGGTGGACGCAAATCTTCTTCATCCATATGCTCAGCCATATCCTTCCCACTTTCAATCCTCATGAGCACCTTCAAAACCTCATCCATAGAGGGTCTCAATTCCTTGTCCCGTTGCAAACACTGAAAAGCCAATTCCGCCACCGAAACCATCATCCTCTTCACCTCAATGTCCGAATCAAAACCAAGAGAAGGATCAACCAGCTCACTAAATGCACTTTGCTGAATCTTCTTTATGGCTAAACTAGACAAGTTAATCTCATCCCTATGCCTGTTCATATCGATAGCTGGCTTAGATGATACTAGCTCAATAAGCACAACCCCAAAACTATACACATCACTCTTGTTTGTAAGCTGGTAGCATTGGTGATATTCCGGGTCAACATAACCCGGGGTCCCTAGTGGGGCAGTGGAGACATGCGTGACATCGTTAGGGAACAACCTTGAAAGACCAAAGTCTGCAACCTTAACGCTGAAACTTTCGTTAAGGAGAATGTTCATGGTTTTCACATCACGGTGGATGGTGTCAGAAGCATGGAGATAAGCCAATGCACTTGCCGTCTCTATGGCGATTTTCATTCTTATGTGCCACGGAAGAGTGCCGCGCCTAGCTAAATCACCGTGGAGATGGCATGCTACGGTGCCGTTTGGAACATGTTCGTACACAAGAAGTAGTTCGTGGCTTTGACGTGAGGTGCAGCCATAGAGGGACACCAGATTCCTGTGGCGCAAGCGTGTGAGGATGTGAACTTCGTTCATGAACTGTTCTACTCGCCTGCAGTTGTGCTCATATAGGCGTTTCACAGCAACTTCTCTTCCATCTCGAAGTTTTCCTGATTGTTAGAGATCATATCACTAGTTATTCTTTTATTTTAACAAAATAATGAACTACAAGTACCATCAATAAAGAGAGAGTGGTGAGGGAATGGTTTAATTTACCATAGTAAACTGTTCCAAAGCCTCCACTTCCGAGTTGTCTGGCGTGGTGGAAATTATATGTAGCTTCTTCAAGCTCCTTGTAAGAGAAGAGAGGGATTCCAAAGTAGACCCTCCCATTTTCTGGGTCTGGATTTGATCTTGGATCAATTACATCCGTGTGTCTGTTTCTTGATTGGGATTGGGGGTTCGAAGGACTGTGTTTACGTATGCATCCAATGATTAGAATAACTGAGAATATAACACTTAAACCTGCAACAAGGGGATCATAAATTCCAAATATCACTCCCTGTAAAAATATTTTGAAAGAGAAAATATTGCGAACGTTACCTGTTACAAGTCCGAGTATCAGCTTCAATTTTAAAATTTTATCCTTACTCTTTTTTGACCCTGCAGATGAAGTTCATTGAAGATGTTTATAAGTAAAAAATATAAAGCAAAGAACATCAGTCTAAAGAGGAAATTTATGACAGTTGGACTAATTCTAATTCACTAATTGCCTTGATACCAGTAACTGGGTAACGTAATGCAGTCAAGTTAGCACTCTTGACACTTAAGACACAAGTGGTAAATAAAAAATAATGAAATGCTCAATCAACGGCCAAAATTTTAAAAAATAAATAAATAAAACTAAGTACAGCCACGTCTAAGACGAGACTTCATCCGTGACAATCTCACTACTGGTCTGGTCTAGAAATCTTGCTGTACCGAAGACAAGGAAATATTCGAATGGATTAAGGAATATGTGAGAAATTGATGCAGAGCGTACCTGTGTCGCAGTAGAACTTTTGATTGCTGTCAAGCCGACATTGGCCTCCTCTGTGATTATAGCACTCATCACAATCATTAGATAATAGTACTTGAAGAACCATCTCAGCAGTTACAAACGATAGAATGTCTTTGGTATCCGTCTTGTCTTTTGATGGTAACTGAAAAACTGAGCAGGATGAGAATAAGTTATGAGCCTCCTCATTATTTGGAGAGGGAAGGCTGTCATAATAAATATCATACTCATAGCCATGGCACGGGTATTTCAAATAATGTTTTGGTGGTTGGTTGATTTTGAGGCCCTGTTTGCATCGGAACAGGGTTACGTTATATTTTATATAAATAGAATACAAAGGAGAAGGGGAAGGAAGACTATAATTATTGTTCAAAGTGCCGCAAGTGTTTTGTTGTAAACTCTTATGAAAATCTTCATCCAAAATCGAAATCGCATTCTGCTGCGTGATGCCATTAAGCTCTAAGTTTTTTCCATTTTTCTCCAGCTGGATCGTTATAATGGGTGAATGAGGATTATCACAATCATGTATCGGTAGCAAGCCACAGTGTGGTTGTTCTGCCTTGGTGAAAGGGTAATAGAAAGTACCAAGATGGCCACAAGTAAAGGAGTGTGGACAATCTTGGTGCCCATTTCCATAACCAGCAGAGAGAATGATTACAAGGTGAGAGAAGAAGAGGAAACAGAACAAATCAACTGGAGCCATCCCAATTCCCAAGTGATAGGTGATGTTATACTTAATGTTCTTAATCTTACGCAACTATCCCGCCTTCACAATATATAATTCTCATGAATGAACTCATCTAAAAGAACGTCTTTGACTCGCAAGTTGACTTTGAAATGAGCAAGGGAAGACTTGGAGAAAAATACATGTAGATACATTTATTGTCTTCATTATCATGACAATGAAGCTTCACCCACAACCTTTTCCTTTCAATTTCTCCTATTAACTATACACCACAAAGTGGGACTTTTGAGAAAACTTGAGTATGAAGATCGCAACAAATTGGCAGCTAGAAGGGCAAACAAATGGTATTTGGAACCTAAAACTGTTAAAAGAGGGGGGGAAATTATGAGTTTTATTGGTTTGAGAGTACTTTTTTAAAATTTTCATAAATAATTACGAGATTACATGTTGGGCACATATGATAATGAAACAGGCAATGAGACGGGGTTTGGGGGTTTAGTACATAATTACGAAATGACTAATGGTAGAGGTCAAGGTCAGGGTATAAGTATAGATATTTTGAAAAACGCGTCATGACATAGTCATAAGTACATTTCATTGGCACCAGGATTTCCCACCAACGAAATGAAGACATAATTTCCTACCGCTGCTGAAATTCTTTTAGCTATGCTCCTAACCAAATACAATGATGAGAGTTTGAATTTAATCGTAAGGCTACAATATGATCGACGGTTCATATGATGGGCTGGGACACCTAACCAAACAATTTTTTTCAACAAGGTGTAGATAAATGTAAGAGATTAATGTTAATATATATTGCTTTTTTGTGTGTGTAATTATCACTTAAATTAGAACAACTATGCCTCAATTGATTTAAACATTGAGAATTTCATTATTGCTAAATCGTTTTTTTATGATAACAAATATTTTTAGTTAATATAAAAAAAATCTAATTCGACAAAGTTCATATATTTTATGAGACCGTTTTCATATAAATGTTATGGACTAGTATCTCATGTTTAGGTCCCACAAATACCATATTAGGCCATTAGTTGAATAGATCGATAATCTATTAGCCCAATTAAGTAATGAATAACAACACCTCAAGAACAAGAATCATGTCATGAGAGATGTAAAAAGAGTACCTCAAGATCACGAGGAAGTCACCTAAGGTCTCAATCAGGTTATAAATTTTACTATATTAATTATAATTAATTTTTTAGTAATATTATTCGATTTAAAAATATGTATATGGATGTTATTATAATTTATTTAATAAGACTCTTTACTCGTTTGAAAATTTATAGGGAAAATTATTTTATTTTTGCTTTGAACTCCGATAAAGAATAATTACATTAAAATGAATGTATAGTTAAATTTTATAAAAATAATATTATCTATAAAAAAAATTATGAAGATGACACTGTTAATATTACACATTCAGTTCAAGATACATCTTTTTCGCTCTTATTAAATAATTAATTCTCTTGACATTGATTAGTTTGTATACATATCAAAGTAATTTATTATATGAACAAAATTTATTATATGTATACAAGCTAAACCCCTTGATTATTTAAACCTTATCTTATATGAACAATATTTGAAATATGGAATTACTTTGACCATTTTTTTTATTTGAATCCCAATAATTAAAAAATTTAAAAGAGAGTTAACTGGAAAAAAAAATATTGTATAAACATTGAAACATTTAATTTTTAATGAAAATTAATTTAAAATTGTTGATTTTTATTTTATTTTTTTACTAAAGTAAAGGTATTGAAAAAACGATTACAAAAGAAATTAATGATATATTAAAAGTATTAAACTACACTAAAAGAATAAATATTTTAAATATATGTAATGTTCATCAATTACTAATAACAACAAAACTTTAATTATTGTCACTCTTAAAATAAATTTTTTAAAAATTTATTTGAGATAATGTTTGTTGAAAGATAGTAATTAAATGAATTGTCATACAGTAAAATATTAAAATTAATTTATTGTGAAATTTTAGTTAATAATTTTGTACTTTAAACTATTAAAAGAATAAAATAAAATTATAAGTTATATTTATATTAGATTAGAATTCAAATATAATGTTTATCTAAGGTTATATTTAAATTCATGGTAGAAAAATAGAGCACAATAGACCAAAACTTAGATAAATAGATTGGAATGAAATAGATTTAAAATATCATCCCTTGTTTATATATTTTATAATGAAAAAATAAAATTATTTAAAAAACAAAATGAATATTTTAATTTTATATTATCTTTACTTTAAAAACATATTTTATTTATTTTATGTTCTTACATTATTAAATGTAACGACCCGACTGGTCACTACAAGTCAACCTCAAGACACTTTTAAAAACCGAAACAGCTATAACTAATGCTGACAGCTTGACCCCTCTTCACTAAAACGGCCATATCTGGAGTTCTAAAACTCCTTTTTGAGTGATTCCAGCGCCATTGGAAAGCTAACATCCAAGGCTACAACTTTCATGAAGACCTTAAGACCAAATTCGGTCATCAAGACCCACCGCTGCAGCGCTCAATCCAGCGCTTTAGCTGCAACTCTCTGCCAGTTCAGTTTCCCTTCCACAGCCATGGCTGCAAATCCACGGCCATAGCTGCAAGTTTCTGCTACTTCAATTTTTCTCCACAGCTATGGCTGCAAAACTACAGCTATGGCTACAAGTCTCTGCCATCACGTTTTTCCTTCCCACGGCTATGCCTGCGAATCCACGGCTATAGCTGTGGGTTCCTGCAAGTGCATTTTTCTTCCACGGCTATAGCTGTGATTCCACGGCTATAGCTGTGGGTTTCTGAACTTCAAAAACTTCATGGATTTCACCTTCGTTTTCACTCAAATCCTCCATGAACTTGCAATTCCAGGAGACCCAAACCATGCTACAACTCAAATGCACCACTACCAACCACATGCAACCCAAAAACATCAAGAATCATAACATGCATGCACCAAAATTCAAGAGATCACCCATTTTTACCCAACACCTTCAAGAACACCACAAGGTTTCAGCTTTTCAACATGCAACCATCAATCATAGAAAAACCCCAAATTTTCACCCTTTTCCCCGAAACCCCGAAAATGAAAATCTTTCAAACACAGCCATCAATTCCTCAAGAATCACACCATCCATGAGTTTCTAACTCACTCAACAACAAATCCTAACTTCCCTTACCTCGGGTGAAGATTCCGAGTTTCCGGGAACTTGAACGAAGAAGAAGAGAGAAAGAGAGCTTGAACGGAAGAGAAAGGAGAAGAGGAATCCAGCACCGGCCAGCCCACTCAACTACACAGCACCACCACCTTGAATTCAAGCAAAGAATGTAAGAGAGAGTTTGAGAGGGATGAAGAAAGTGAATGAGAGTTTAGAGTAAAGAGTGAGGGGGAAAAAGAAAAGAAGAAGGGTCTCACATTAAAAGTTTTAAATGCATATATCAAGTATGTAAATTTTAAAATTTTTGAAAATTATTATACTTCATTTCATTAATTCAAACTAATGTATAAAATTATTTTATAAATATTCGACAATTTAAATTAATGAAATGAAGTATTGACTAATTTTTAATTTTTTAAAAAAATTACAGGCTTGATTTATACATTAAAAATATTTCATTATTTTTTAAATAAGTGAATTTCCATCGCATATATATATATATTTATTGAGTCAACTTTAACACTTCTATCCACATCTTATTTTTCATCTTATATATATATATATATATATAACTTATGACTAAAACTCATCACAAGTATGAATAAAATTGGTCTAGAATTCCTTAAAAAGAAAGTTCTTGAATTTGAAACTTGTAAAAGTAAAAGAAAAGTCAATCACATTTCTCTGCATTATCAGCAAAAACAATGAATGCTTTAACACTAATTTCATGGTGATAAAAAAAAAATCTCAAACACGTTCTTATTTATCTTATTTTTTAACCATTTTTTCTAATATTTACATGTCCGTGTGTACAATCACCTGGACTATATGGTTGACTACAATGTGTCATATTGTTTAATACACCTATTCATAATTAGGAAGTACTTAATATGCATTCAATTTTTTCTTCAATTTCACTTTCACCTCTTTTTTTTTTTGGTTTAATTGGACTTTTGTTATTTATTTTTATAATTTTGCAAAATTTGTCACTAAACATTTAAAATTACATATTTTTCTATACAACATTCAAAATCTCACACATTTTATTATTCTATTTATTGATCACATTATTAATAGACATCATATAAATTGTTAATGCCTTATGTAAATTATCAATGTGATATATTAATTGAATACATAAATTGATGATATAATCTAATGTAACACATCAATAATTAACATTATGTTAATAGTCAACATGTCATATAAATAATTAATTTAGACGTTAAATGATCAATTAATAAAAAAGTAAAATATAAAAAATTTAAAGCTAAGTTATAAAATGTATAATCTCAAAAGTTGGATGACGAAATTCTTAAAAAATATAAAGGATAAATGAAGAAAAAAAATTACAATTAAGCCTTATTCTTTATGCATTGGCTACATGTATCATTTTCTCTCTTTTCCTTTGTTTTTATCCCCGACCCTAGAAAAAAAAAAAAAAAAAAAAAAAAAAAAAAAAAAAAAAAGATGATTGCTCTTCAAAATTATACAGGCGGGTGACAGGATAATGGATACTCTGACGCAACTAATAATGAGCGATGAAAAGTGAAAGTTGATACTTGATACGGTACAATCGGATTATGAACAAGTTATAATTAATAGAGGAAGCCATTAAGCACTGACATTAGGCGTAGTACATTCACTTTCCCATTTATCAGTGACAGTGTTTGGGGAAGTAGGCTTCATATTCATCAACAATCCAACTTCATCCCACTCAGGTGACGCTGCTGGTGGTGCCGAATGTTGACAACTATGTGAAACTCCAAAACCATTAACATCATCCGTTCCACTCTCAATTCTCCTCAGTTCATGCAACACCTCCTCCATGGAAGGTCTCAAATCCTTTTCCCTTTGCAAACACTGCAAAGCCAACCCTGCCACTGAAACTATCATCCCCTTAACCCCACTGTCCGAACCAAAACCAAGAGAAGGATCAACCAGCTCACCAATTTCACATTCTTGAATCTTCTTTACAGCTAAGTTGGACAAGTTTATCTCATCCCTGCTTCTGTTCATATCAACGGCAGGCTTGGAAGATATGAGCTCAATAAGCACAACTCCAAAACTATACACATCACTCTTGTTTGTGAGTTGGTAGCAATTGTAATATTCGGGGTCAAGGTAACCCGGGGTCCCTTGTGGAGCCGTTGAGACATGCGTGACATGGTTGGGGAAGTCCCTTGAAAGACCAAAATCTGCTACCTTAACACTATAGTTGTTGTCTAGGAGAATGTTGTTGGTTTTCACGTCACGGTGGATGATGTCGGAGGCGTGGAGATAGGCCAAGGCACTAGCAGTTTCTATGGCGATTTTGATTCTTGCAGACCACGATAACAAGCCAGGCTTCGCTAATTTACCGTGGAGATGACATGCTACGGTGCCGTTTGATATGTATTCATACACGAGTAGGAGTTCACGGCTGTGCCGTGAAGTGCAGCCATAGAGTGACACAAGATGTTTGTGACGCAAACGTGTGAGGATCCTAACTTCGTTCATGAACTGTTCTACTCGTCTATAGTTGTGCTCGTATAAGCGCTTCACGGCAACTTCACGTCCATCTGGGAGTTTTCCTGCGTTTTAATTTAAAGGTCTAAGTTGTACAACAAGAATAAGATGATGAGAAATTATTATATAGTATATGATCACCACTTGTTTTAATTTAAAGGTCTAAGTTAGAGTCTCTTTGAATGCAAATTTAGAAGAGTTTTGGAAAACTTCTCTACTAAATGAGATTAATCAGGACTATTAACACGTATTAGTTTTGGACTATATATATAATAATTTCTTTAACAAGGGTATAATGCTGGGAGTTAACCAGTCAATTAGTAGTGAAGTGTTTAAATAAGTAGCGTACCATGGTAGACAGTACCGAAGCCTCCATCTCCAAGTTCTTTAGTATGGTCGAAATTGCTTGTTGCTTCTTTAAGTTGCGCGTAAGAGTAGAGTGGAACTCCAAAGTACTCGCTGCCACTTTGCCCATGAGGATTTGAGGAGGAATCAGAATAGGAATATCTTGACTCCATTTGTTCACCGGAGATGGCATGTTTTCGTTTGTAGTGTAGAAAGAGAAACAGCAACCCAATTACCAACATGCATGGGACTCCAATACCTAAACCTTTGGAAACGGGACAAGAGAAAATATCAACTGAAGATTACTATGAGACATAGTAACTGAGTGCATGACTACTGCTACTTTTCTGCTAGTAGCAATTAGCATTGATAGAATTATATACAAATAAATATTTAGTTTTCCTCTTTTGGGGAAAAATGAGGGTGATAAAAGAAAAAAATCACCAGATCCTCTGAATTCCACACTGTTATGAACTTTCACTATGAGGATCCGTGATTTTGAAGTCATATGTTGAAAAGGAATGCCAAGTTTTGTAAAAAGTAAGTTACCTATAAGAAGTTTAGCCTTCAAATGTGACCTTTTTTCCGGAACTGCTGCAAATAGAAGAAACGATGCAAACAACACACGTTAGAAGTGTTAAGATTAAGTTATTCAGAGAAAAATATGACATGCCAATTGTGAATGTTGCAGTAATGACTAATTAATAATATTAGACAATAGAGAATTTATCAAAGCAACTCAGATCTTGACATCCAAGTGTAGTGAACATCTACGTCACTTCTCTTAAGCTGTTTATGATATAGGAGAGGAAGTGGGCTTGATGCATTCGACAGAAAAGTAGAGAATGTTCCACAATTCTGAAGGAAACATTTAAGAACCTAATACCTATGATGTGAAAAGCAGATAAAAGCAACAAGTATTATTGCATCGCATTCATGGTTGCTTGTGTTTCCGGGGTTTTGTTGAAGTATACCATTCATACAACAAAATCTGTATTTGTTGTCAAGTTGACACTGCCCTCCTAGGCGATAGTGGCAATCTGCACATTATTTAGCAAAGTTTACTCGAGTGGTGATAAGTGAAGTTATGAATGTGAATGGGTTTTTAGCGTCAGGCACGTCTTTAACTGGAAGCTGGACCTTTGTACATCCTCTCAAAGATCTCAGAGACGCATCATCACCCATAGGGAATAAACCGTAGTAGATATTGTAATCAGAGCAGTTTGTATAAATAGACATGCGAGGGGGAAGAGTAACGTGGTGGTTGCGGTTGCACCTGTACACAGTTGTGGTGTATTGCATACTAAACGAAGCAAAGGGAAAGGTGTGATGAGGAAGAGTATAACTGTTTCTGAAAGCTTCGCAATTTTGGTTCTGCAGAAGCTCATTGAGATTGGTGTCTCTAAATTGAAAAGTTGTATAAGTAGTAGTAGGACTACTCAGCAACTGAGTTACGCGTACAACCTGAAACCATTTTCCATCTTTCTGTAATTGGATCATTTTGAGAGCTGGAGAATGACAATTGCGTATGGGCAATAAGCCACAGTCCTTGCGTTCTGTTATAGTAAAAGGGAAACTGATATTGCCAAGATATCCACAATCAAACGAAGGTGGACACTTTGGTTGGTATCCATCCGCCAAGAGAAGTGGCGTAAGGTGACAAAACAAAAGCAGTAACACAAATTCATAAACTCCACTCATCCTTCCTCAATTTGTATGAGCTAAAACTTCAACTAGGATTTGATTCTCTAAACTCTAAAAAGTAAGCTCAAGTTTGTCTTACTCATTTTTATACTCCTCCCAACATGAAGTAGTTGAAACGGCAGTTGAATTAGAAAATGACTAGGCTTGAAAAAGGTTCCATGGAAGATGGAAGAGGGAGTGGGAAACCAAGATATACATACATATCTGGCCCTCAGCCTCAGGGAAGTGAGACCAGTTCTTATGCCTTTTCAAACAGCCACAAAGACTTGACTTCATTATTAACTTCCCATGCCCTTCTCCATCCTCAATCTTCTCTTGGTCTAGGAACTATGTTAAACCGTGTATCAGACGCAAACCAGAATGTGTGCATAGTAACCAATATTAAAAAATTATCACAACGGGAGGCTCTAGAGTCCACAAGAGTTTGGAAATGCAATGGCCCTTTGAGGTTGAAATACTAGAAAAAGGAGCACCCAAATGATGTTGAAACTTTAAAGAATACAAAAAACAAATATACATAAACTTTTTTATATATTTTTTTCTTTACTGTCTATCACATTGTTTATATTATTTTTTTCCATTCTAACGATGATTTTTCAACAAATAAGACAAGGTAGAGGAATTGTGAGGTCGTTGAAAGCGGTTAGGTTCACACTTGAGCATGACCTGTCAAGTCAACGAGGGCAGAGAGAAAACGCGTTCAAACGTCTTCATCTGCTTATTGCCCAGTGCCAGTGGGCACTCTCCTCTTCTCTCACTCTCAAACCCCACAATTTCTATTACTCTCTGTGTGAACTTGTGAAACTAAAAGTCTGCTTAAAAACGACACTTCCACTGTATCGTATTACATAACAAAGACTGTGCAAGTCAATCATGATTCATCATTATACCAATTATTAATTACTTTTTGAATTAAACGGTAATAGAAAGTCGGTAAAATTATTAAGACAAACAATCACATTGTCCTTCAACAAAACAATCAATCATTTGTCAAGCTTATTAATCAATTATAGAGATAATCATATGTCTTTTAGAGTAGTTAATCTAAAAAATCAACAAATTTATTATTAACAATGAATTGTAATTGGTTGAATATATAAAATTGATTTACACAGTTAATATACTATTATTAAACCCATATTTTTTTAGTTCTTTAATAACTTATTTAGAGCATATTTGTATTCTTGTTTAGTTCCATTCAATGACAAAGTTACAAGAAAGTAAAATTACGTTCAATGTGACTTTAAAATTCAGAAATAGAGTAAAACAAACACATTCTTGATCAAATTTAGTCTCAAACTGTAGTAATGCCAATTAAATTTTTCATTATATTTTAAGGGTTTATTTTCATAAATCAAAGGACGATTGGATATGAGAATTATAGGTTACAAAAAATAGGGGTTAAAGATAGTATGTATTGATTTTAAGTTTAAACTTCATTGTTACTATTGTAATTTTTATTGATAATTTTTTTATAAAAAAAAAGTGTGACATTTAACATTATCAATAAATTCTCACTGTGATTTTTAATAGATTTATTTATTTATTAATTCTTTAAAAATTATCCTTGTGGAAATGGGAAAAAAATATTTTTAAGATAAAAAAACATAAGAATAAGAAAATTTTAGATAAAATAAAAACTTAATTGAAAGAATTAAAAGTTTTGATAAACTTAAATATAATAATAATTAAACAATTTGAGAGAATAAACTTAAACAAAGTTCACTCAGAAATAAAATTGCAAATTAACCATAATAAGGTAACTATAAACAAACATTTAATCAATTATCAAGTTTACTTCTCTTATACTCACCTTTACCCATAAAAAAACAAAACTAAAAAAGAAAAAGTCCCTTTATTCTTTTCAAGTGACTCGACAATCGACATCTTTTAAATAGTAGTGTGAAACAAACATTTTTCACTTTTATTTATTTGTTTCTCAATTTAATGTTTATTTTGCATGGTCCCATCTTATCTAACCGAAAATTTTTGTTACCCAATTGATTTTCAAGTAACAATATAATGTGTGAAACTTTAATTCTTTTAAGTTGGATCACTCTTCCAATCTTTTTATATTTTTTTTATTTCCCTTCCTTTTTCTTTTCTTTATTATCACGAAATCTATTGCCTCTCTCACTTTTTCTTTATTTATATTTTATCTTTATTCCGCCCATACCTCACAAGTCTATGTTCTATTTAACCTCTCTCACAATAAATTCCTGGTATCGAAGAGGATACATACTCAATGTTATCTCTACTTTGATTCTTATGTTTCATTTTTAATTTTCATGTATGTTTGGTACTCAAGAAAGAAGAAAAAAAGAAAAGAGAGAGAGAGAGAGATGGAAAAAAGTAATGCTTTTCATCCTTCCACAGTTTGGTTTTTCTCTTAAAATGGAAGACAAAAACTTTAACGTGGTGTGGTGTTTATCATAAAATGAGATCCATGTGAGACTCAAGATAAAGAAGAGGAAAAACAAACCTTTTGATAAAAGGATAAAATTATCTTTATTTATTCATATTTCTCTTTGTTAAGAATATTTATTACTTTTTTTTTCTTTTTTTCTTTTTTACTTTCTCTTAAAGAAAAGGATTTTTTTTACAACATTATTGGAATATAAGGGATTAAAATAAAAGTGAGAAGACTTAAATTTGATTTTCATCTTGTCTTTATAATCTTTTTTATAGTAAAAAAACTTATTCCTAATCAAAGGAATACTTACAACTGAGAAATGGACACCACTCCATTGTGTATTCATAATCAAAGGAAGTTATTCCCGTTCAAACTTACAACTGAGAAATGGACACCACTCCATTGTGTATTTATATGTACATGTTATCTATAAAACTCGTTCTAAACTCTAGAGTGACTATTTAAGATTTGAATTCAACATTATTAATAAAAGTTCGATTAAAGTTGGAAACTATTTCTACAGAGATCAACAATTAATAATTGAGTACCACGAGTCTTGTTGTGGAACTGTCTATTACACTTTTTTTGGTAAAGGTAAAGTTGTCTTTTTTTTGGTAAAGAATTACACTTTTAATAGTAAACACTTAATTTAATTTCCGAAGAAAAAATTACTAAATAATTTATTAAGCCCATGAAAGTCAAATACTGGCCCAACTCAGTAAGAGCCTGCCCTATATTGTCCCAATCCATGTCAGCCCACCCAAAACTCCATGTGGATGGAAGCGGCTCAGAAATTTCAGATTGGGCAAGTTCGGCCCAAAATGAACCGTACCCAACTAATAAGCAGGCCCAATCCAAAGAAATCTAAGAAGGAACGTCGAAAATATCTTCTTAAGGGAGAGATAAATTAGTCTAAATTAGATCCTTGTCCTCTACGGAATATGCACTACTATGGTGCTTATTGTCAAATCAAACCAAATAGTCTATGGTGTGTGCTCTTTCCCATTAAACGTCACATCAAATACAATTATATTTTTCATCAAAAATCAATCAAACAGTTAAAATATCTTAGTATCTATTACACTAATATACTTTTCTCAGAGAGAGAAAACAAGTTCCAGTACAAAGTCTGGTTCACTACCTTAAACTCTTTTATGACCTCTAATATATTATTCAGAAAATAATTATTTGTCAGTGACTAATTTTTCTGTTTAATTATATTTTAAGAATTGTTGTTGCATTTTCGGCATCTTGTTAGGTTTTAAAAGCTTATTGTCAAAGATAACGAAGAGGAATAAATGCGTACAATTACTGAAACTTAATCTTATTTGTTTAATGTTTTTAAAATTATTTGATATTTTGAAAACAAAAACTAACATGTTTGATAAAATTAGTTTTGATAATTAATTTTAAGCGATATATTTTAGTTTTGAAATTAAATAATTAAAACATCTTTAACTTAAGATTTATATTGAAGGATTCAAAATTGCTTCCTTCTGTTTTTATTATAATTTTTTTATTAATTCACACTATTATTTTAACATATACAATATTGTACATAATTAAAATTTATAATTAATTATATATATAAATAAATATTATATTTAAATATATAAATT